GGCCCCGGCTGGCAGAGGGCAATGAGCAGGTTGTGATCGCCGACTTTTCGCATTCTGCCTCAGACCCCCAACAGCCTGTGTGGCCGTTGGTAATCCGGGCGACGATTGAGCCTGTATAATTTTCTGCGTCGTCAATACCATGAGTGGCAGGTGGCTGAATTTTACTTACACTTGCCACGGTTCTCCAACCCTCCTCCTTTCTCATCCGGGCTTAGGACCGGCAACGACGGAGTTACAGAAAACGTTATCTGTGTAAAAGCCTACTTAAATGTAAATTTTTTATGATTTAAATTTTATGTATGCTGCGTTTTAAATTAAAGCTTTGTTATCACTCTCTAGAAGAGTTTTGCTAGAAGCGTCAGCCTACTTCCGTGTTGTTCTGTTTTTCTGATATTTTTATTTGTAGGCAATGGAACAAGCGGAATGGGGTTCAGTGATGAGGGTATTTTTGGAGTTTGTCAGTTTCTACAACGTTGACCTTTTTCTCTCTGGCTATTATCAAATCCGGTGTTTATTGCAGTGCGCCGACAAGTTAAATTCTCACATTGAGGTGAACGTACCTCGGACTTCAGGTAGTTTTTTAATGTATTGTTTTGGTTTCTAGTTTACGTATCAAGTTTTTCCATCATATACCGGATTTCTAGCTACTCCTGTGACAAATTGTAATGGAAGGGAAATAAGGAAAAGAAACAACTCTCCACTGGACTAGTAATTGTGCATGTTTCGAAGTCAGGAAATGAGCAGTTGAATAATTCTGTACTAGATGGTTGTAGATTTGAGAATCCTGGGTTGTGATTTCTAAAGGGTTAACATTGATCTCACTGTAAACACTGTTAATTCATGAAGAACTAATCATGGATATTAACCTTCTAAAGTTATTGTATTGTGTAATGGCATTTTTTCTTCACTCTGCTACCTTAATTAAGTTGCAGGTCCAAAGATAGAATTTGTTTGTATATAGTCATAATGGAAAAATAGCACAAATGTTGGCATTGTTATGCGCAGCTTAATACACATTGTCAGTCGGGTGATAAACTGGTGCTGATTTTTCTTCCCGTATTTCATGGGTCTTCTTGAAACCATGAAGGTAAATGTGGCGTTAAAGTTCGGTTGCTGTTGTAGTGCGATGGCACAATGCCTAGAGGTGGCGGCATCAAATTTTTGATGTGCTGGATCCGAGTTCGCCAGTGGGCAATCTTTGTCTTAACCAGGAATTCCTTTGAGCAAAGAATTTACTACATGTTGATTCAGACCAAAATTACTCAGTCGATAAAGCGTCGGACGAACAGCGGGTGCGGGCTACTCATCTCTGTTCTTTCCTAGGATAATAAATGACTGATACCCTGGTGCATGCGTGGCAGGAAACATGAAAATGCATACTATGCTTATCATATAGTTGTCATCAATTTCGCCCCGTAGAAGAATGAGGCCTTATATCTGACGGTGTAGAAATGGAGATCAGCGTCATCAGTAAATTCATGAAATGTAGGGCGCTGGAACAGCCCCCCGTCATGAAAGCTACCGACATTTCAACGGTAGAAAATTTTCTTTCTTCCTGCAGTATCGGAATTTTTCTGAGCTATAAAACGCCTCACCTCGTTTAGCAATAAGCTTTTTATGTAAATAAACCGTTTTGTGTTGTATTTCACACAGCGCTCACCTCAAGAAGTAATGCCAGACCCATTCGTTAGGTTCTGTCGGTGATTCTCAAAAAAGTGCCAGTCCTGTGCTCTTTACTTTGCAGGTGTTCGCCCACTAATTCTCTTGCTTTGGTTTGAGCTCCACTGAAAGGAAATCGAATTTTAAGAGTTTGCTCTACTGGCGGCGACAGTAGAAGCAACCTGATTTACATAATTACAGTCTAATATTGTTAATGAAGGGAAAAGAAAAGTAGGCTCGTAACTGTTGTGGCGTTGACCTCCTTTCCATGTTATGGCACTCTTCCCTCATGGAGCGTATGATACGACACTCATCTTCGTTTTGATATCACCAGCCAGGTTTATGCTCTTTGTAAAGTTAATGTCCACAGCTGTGTAACAAGCACGGTATATGCGTTCC